TTTTTTTTTGTTCTTTTTTTTTTGGTGTTTCTAGTCCTGTTATTTCGACTTACCTGTAATTTACTCTTTTGTTATTTCAGCGTACATGTTATTAACTTATCAACTTATTCGGCTCATCGGCGTTTTTTACATTCTTTTAGCCATGGTCATTTTTGACTTTGCCGCCCACCTGGGAAGTGACACAGAAGCACATTGAACGCCTGCTCAACCTAAAGGATTTCCTGTATGTATCTGACTCACATTACAAGTGGATTCAGTTAAAGAAGCCCTGTGTGACTATGCCCTGAGTCTCTGCTGAGTCTCTGCTGAGTCAGTGCTGACCGTTTTGAGCACGGAGCCAAACAGCTGAACAGTGTACAGCATGTTCTGACTCTTTTTTCTGAGTGTATTTGGAGATTCTCTGGGACCCTTTTTTTTAACACAATCTGGCTGTATTTCCAGCCTGATACATCCTGTATATATCGCTAAAGGTCCCAGATTCACTGGGACCTTTAGCTGCGGCAAGAGTGCTGGTGCCAGCATGTGCCCTACATCATCGTTTCCGCAAGGCACTCTTGCCATTCAAGTCACACATGATACCAGAGAAACACATGGCAGCAGCTCAGGAAAGCCACAGAGCTGAATAGCTGCGCTATTTGCACAGAGGACTCTATCGATGCCCCCCAGGGAGCAATAGTCGGAATAGCAGAATCGCTGCAGTTAGCTGTGCTGTCATCATCCACTCATCCTAAAGTTTCTTCACATACCTATTTAAAACGAATAAAAACAGATACATTGAAGTAGTACATGAATGCAAGATGCAGTAAGCCAAAAAAGTAGCAATAGTAGCAATAGCCAATAGCCGAATGGCTGTGGTATAGCCAGTTCTGTGCGCAGGGCTTGATAGATGCCCTTCGCTGCCTTCGGGCCGAAGCAGGGATGCTTACATGCTGCCATCCTCCAATCTTCGCAACATTCAGTAAGGTACATAGCAGAATCACTGTGTGGTATAGCTACCGTCTTCCCCCGAATAGAACGCCCGGTCATTATAGCTGTATTTGGCACAACTTTCAGTCCAGATGCATCGATAATGATCGGGCGCTCTATTCGGGTGAAGACGGTGGTTCTGGATGCATTACCCAATCGACCGACTCACACTTAGAAAATATGTAGAGACGATTAAGAAAATACAATGACCCGATCGACGCACTTTGAAAATGCGCAGAGACGACTAGGCAAATACGATGACCCGATCGATGCACTTAGAAAATATACGCAGAGACGACGCGCTTTGAAAATATATACGCAGAGACGACGCACTTAGAAAATATACGCAACCCACGCCAAACCCACGCCCACTAGTAACCCAAACCCACACCAAACCCACACCAAATCCACGCCAAACCCACACCAAACCAGAGACGACGCGCTTATAAAATAGTAAAAATACGCACGGACCCGATTAGGGAAATACGGTGACCCGATCGACGCACTTAGAAAAGATGCAGAGACGACTAGGCAAATAAGATGACCCCATTGGCGCGCTTGGAAAACACGCAGAGACGATTGGGAAAATACGTTGAGACAATTGCCCGCTGTGATCATCCACTCTTTACAATATGGTGTCCAGGATGTTAAACCACCATTACCTCCAGCTATTGGCCGCGGGCCCTTTTCGGAGGCCGCCCGCCGCTGATTGGATGGATTTATCTACGGTGCTGGGCCGCGGAAATTTTCGTAGGGGACAAGTTTTCTTTTCAGCAAGGCTGGGGCCGTGTACTGGCACTTTAAACCACCAGTACCTCCAAGCCTCTTCTTCCCGGCGCGGATTTGCAATGCGCGCCTAACAAAAACGAACCGCCCACGGCACACCTTTTTTCTGTTTTGGCTGGCACCGCCAGCCATTTTGGTCCGGTAGCCCTGTTCATACGGAGAACAAAAGTTTGTTGCAATTTCAATTCCTAAGTTTGACAGCGCGAGGCAATGGCGGTTTAAGCTATATACAATACTATACATAACTGAATAGCTCTGGCCTCTCCAATTCTGTATGCAGGACTCGATTGATGTGCCTGGGGTGTAAGTACAGACGTGTTTTTGTCATCCACTCTTTGCGACGTCCAGTGTGCCACAGAGTGCTTTGAGAGACCATTTATGCAGGACACCTCTCACAACAGACTTAACCCAGAGGAAGCATACACACGAAGCACCCATGAGATGTAACTCGGTAAGACCTCAATTACACAAAATTGTCTTTGTGCCCTAAAAAAAAAAAAAAAAAAAGGATTAAAAAAAAAAAAAAAAATTGTCTGTGTACAAGCGGAACGACTATGGCTGCCAGCCAGTCTCTAGCAGGTATGGAGGAGTCGGAGACATTCCACCAAGATGTGCAGAGCACAACTCTGCAAATTTTCAGGCGGTAAATATGCCAGCACAATGACGAGAGAGAGAGAGAGAGAGAGAGAGAGAGAGAGAGAGAGAGAGAGAGAGAGAGAGAGAGAGAGAGAGAGAGAGAGAGAGAGAG